AGAAAATGAGATATATAGGCTCAAAGTGGACGTTCCGGGTGTCGTTCTATTAGAGGTTTTACGGTATTTGGAAATAAATTTACAGTTTTCAAAAAGTCATCGTAAATTTTAGAGATCTTCATTTTACAGTTACTTAAAAACATTTTAAAAAATTATGGAAAAGTTTGGAGTTCCTCATATCACAATAACTGAAAATTCTTCTTAAAACCATACTTGTAAAATTCCGGGCCGGCCCGCCAAAGCCCGGGCCTCAGGAAATTTGCAAGGCGCGGGCCCGGCCCGGAAGGCCCGGTAGCAAAAAAATTATGTCATTTTGAGCCAAATTTCGAGCTCTCAATACAATTTTCTCCATTTTTTTTGGATTGCTTGTCTGTTTGATCAAAAAATACCGAAAAAACTCGACAAAAATGTTTTGATCGAAAAAAAAACCGCATAAGGGTGCCGAGCCTCCGAAATTCAGGAAAAAGCCCGGCCCATTACAAGTATGCTTAAAACTGTTTTACGAGACAGTTTAAAAATTACCATTTCAGAAAGTCGTGAATTTTTGTTAACTAAATTCTTAAAACTGATACTAGACTCAATTTTTGAAATATATTTAAACAAACCGCCTGTAACTTTTTCCATAGACACGATACACCTCTATAAAATATATCATTTTGTAGAGTTTACCAAGCTTTTTCTTATCCATATTTGTTGGTAAAAAAAAGTTGAACCTGAAATAAGTTATGGATTGGTCCGTCATTTGTCCGTTGTTGACCTGTTTCGGCTCTTTTTGGTCCGCAAGTTTAAAAATCCGGTTTTGTTTTCAATTTTTGGTTATTCACTGTTTCAAGCGGTGAGTAAAATTTTTCGGATTCTTAAAAAATTTGGGAGCTTTTCAGCTTCTTCATAATATCTAGCAAGCTTTCAACCATTAGAACCAACATTTTTTCTAAGAAAAAAATCACTGTTTCAAAAAGTGTTTATTTTTCTGGAAATCCAATGAGATCCGCTGACAATGCGCCTGACAATGTGCCTTTAAAGAATTTCTTTCAGATCGCGGTGTCATCGTCCCCACTGGTCTATCTCACACTCCTTTCAGTTTTAAAGAAAAATTTCCGGATCTCAAAATGGATCGTCTCAAGGATCAGTTGACAATCGATATGGAGCCAGTGTTCACTCCAGCTTCCACCTCCTCAAAATACGATTCTCCAAGAATTACAGGACAAAAAAGGTCCCTTTCTCCAGGACCTGTTCGAAAACTTCTTCTTCAAAGAGGTGGAAAACGGGCTGTGAGAATAGGTCCGGCATATCAAACCGCGGTTTCTGGAAACCCAATTTTGTCATTTGGGGACCCAGATCCAGAGGATCGGGATCGAGAAAAGGCCATTTTCATTCCCCTGGACAACACAGAAGACACATCAAAACGTGCGCAGACTTGGAAGAAGCATCAAGACTATTTCTATCGAATGTGCCATGAAATTTATTGGAGAGCTATCTGGCGCCAATTTGAGAGCCATATTCCTTATGAAACTGCTTTGGAGCATCTTTTGGAGTGTAAATATGACTTTTGCAAAGCACTGGAAACGATTGATCAGAAGTTGAAAGTGTTGCCGCAGGAGACGAAGCCGTTGTGTATGGCTCAGGCGAAATTGATGGCAAATTTGGTGAAGAATGAGAAGATCACGAGGAGAATGTTGCAGGAGAAAGCGGTGGGTTCTATTTTCTATCATCAGAATTGTCTTGAAATTGCCTAAAAAACTAACAAAAAATCAACGTTCTATCTTGATTTTGGTGCAAGTTATGCGCCTTTGAAATCTGCGAGAGCGCAGAGAAACGAGAGTGTCTGCGTCTCTGACCTCTTAACTTTGAAGCGCTGTATCTCAGCTCAAGAGGATCTATTTCAAGTGGTTTAAAGTGCATTTTAAAGAAGAAAACATCCTTCAGAATTTCATAGTAAAATTCCTTATTCCAGATGCGCAACTACCATCTCGGAGAAGTCCAAAAAATTCGCTACCTGTTCACCCGCTTTTATGGTCGTCAAGAATGGCTCGGTGTCCCATGCAATTGCAACGATTTTATCTGTATGGAACTACACTTTGAGCCACGTGTCAGTTGCACGAATTGCAACAAGAAGTACCGAAAAAAGATTCGTGGTGCTCGAGATAAGCTCTGTATGATTTGTGAGAGTTATGTGAAAGTTGGTGGCACAAAACGGCCGGCAAATGATGTTGTGTATACGGATAGGGAGTTGAAGTTTCTGGAAAATTGGGAACGGAAAGAATCGGAAGTCGGAAGACGGTTGGAGAGGGAAGAAGCAGAAGTTTTGATTCAAGAAGAGACAAATGCCCGGTGGAGACAAGGAGAGCTAACTGATGAGGAGAGAGATATGTTGGATTATAAGGATTTGCGGATCCAAAATCGAGGAGGGAAACATCGGTACAATATGGATGAGCAGAAGATTCGAGCCGAGAAAATTGTCTCTCAACTTCAACCATTCATCTTTCCACACTTCTCCAGATGTCAGTGTAAAGTGTCGGGAAGTGTGCCGAGGCATTCGAAAAATGCCGAAAAGTGGGAATGGGATGAGGAGGAGAGACGTAGATGGAGAGATTTGATTGTGGAGTATGACGGAAATCAATCAATGGTCGCCGAGATTTTCGATGTGGAACCAGGTCTGATTGAGAGGTTCATGCAGGTTTATCCAAGGAATCATAAGATTTGGAAGGTGGGTTTTTTCTTGGGGCTATGTTGGAGTCTAACTACACCGTTGTGAAGCGACTTGAATATAAAGAAATTATTTAAACTAGACGACATTATTTTCAACATGATTGTCTTGAAATTTCCTACAAAACTAACTAAAAATTAATTCTCTATCTCAATTTTGAAGCAAGTTTTGCGCCTTTGAATTTGTGCGAGAGCGCAGAGAAACGAGAGTGTCTGCGTCTCTGACCTCCTAACTTTCAAGCGCTGTATCTCAGCTCAAAATGTTCCGTTTTGAGTGATTCAAAGTGCATTTTGAAGAGGAAAATTGTGACAATCAACACACGTTAAATCTAAAAACTGGATGTTTTGAAACCGGGTAATAAAACGGACATTTTAGAACTGACCATTATAAAACTACTTGAAATGAGTCCTTTTCAGAATGAGAAACAAACTTCTGTTTCAGAAGTGACATTTTAGAACCAGACATTTTAGAACAGTAATCACTATTTGAAACCCGGCCTTTTTGCACCAATCGAATAGTTTAGATCTGAAATAACGGAGTCCAAGACGTCATAACCCTATAATCTCAAAAATATTGACATTTTGCAACCAGTCGTTTTAGAACTGGACGTTTCGGGGCTAACAAAAATTGTTTGAATCCAGTTCACATTGCAACATCAATAAGTTATGAAACAAACCAGACCAAATCAAATCATTTCGAAACAGGTCCTTTTTTTTGAAAAAAAATTTTTTTTTTAATTTTTATAAAATTTTTCTGGAGAGTTCGGTTCTGAAACGTCCGGTTCGGGAAAATACTGTTCCAACAACCTTAAATAATCTGGGGTTAGCAACACCGTCTGATAGAGCTTCGATATTGTGTTTTCCAATACTTTCGCAAAACTTCCAAGAAGATCCAACATTTTCCAAATGAGACATTTTAGAACTCGACGATCTAGAAACGTTCATTTTGAAACTAGTCGCTTCTTGATTGGTTTTCTTAGAAGCTGCCCACTTCCATTTTGGAAATAATGTTTTAAATTTTTCGCTTCGGAAATGTCATGTTTTGAAATGTCTGGTTCGAAATGATTTTCAAAAAATACGGTTTCAAAAACGTTGTACATATAATCGAGAGTTCGTAACAAGGTCTGATGATTATTTCATGTTCAAGATGATTTCTAAAATTACGGTTTCAATAATTTTGTATAATCAAGGACTTGCAATAATATCTGCAATTCAATTTTCGTTCGTTTCCAAAATTCCAAAATAATTACAGGAAGATCCAACAAAGAAATTCGTCCGCCTACACCGTCGTCAACAATTTCCATCTATAAATTTGCCGCCGTTTCTACCGGATGGAGACTCTCAAAACAGTTCCAGAGATGGATCACCGTACCTGCCTCCAGAAGAGATTCGAGCGGCTAAGAAGGCTAAGAAGAAGTGAATTTTCTGAACAATTTTCTTTGTATTGCTGTTTTTTACTGTTTAAAAAATTTTGTATATATGATTTCCATTTTCCATATATTCCATTGAATTCTGCGAAAATTTTCCTGAATTTTTTCAGATCAGTTTTTGGGAAAAAATTTATTTTTTTCAGCATCAATTTTCAGTCATATTTTATCCGATTTTCTGTGTTATTTTTTTTCCCTGACACTACGATTTTTCTTTCACCCCAATGTATTTTTTTCTGGTATTTTATTTTTTTGCTCTCTTAAACAATATTCGACTTTTACTCACTTGCTTTTTTGGTCATAAAAGATTTTTGCACCATTCAAAACTTAGTTTTGATCATAAAAAACACAATTTTGAATTTGCACAAACTTTTCCCGAATTATCAAGGAAAAATTATAATGAAAAATTATAAAGTAGAAAAATCAGTTTAATTTAAAGTTTTGATAATTTTAAATTCTAGATTATTTTTCTGTTTTAGCGCATTTCAGTTCCATTAACGATAACCAGTTCGATTAACGTTAGTCAGTCAATCTCAATTTTATGATAAATGAGAAACATAGATTTTTTGTTTGGTTTGTGCCTTTAAAGGAGGCGAGACAGCAAAACTTTCGGGGGACAGTTCGGGGGACGAAATCGCGCCGCGCTTATACATATATATATATATAATTCATACGAGCTATAATCAAAATTTCATTCGAAATTGAAATTTTCACCAAAACAGGAAAGCAATTAGATGGAATGAAATGTAAAAAATGAGTGTTTTCAGTGTAATCATATTGGAATGGGACTGATCAGAAAAACATAATAATACCAAAAGGAAACAGGAAAAATATATGAAAATTTAAAAAGATTTAAAGAAGACCCAAACAGTGAGAAAGGTTCCAATCTAAAGAGAAAGAAATCCTATGAAATTAGGTCTAGGAACAAAAAGAACAAAACAAAATTGAGTTTCGAAAATGCGCTCTATTGATTCCGTCAAAATGAGGTCTCAGCAAAGGAAAAGAAAAAGGGACACAAATTCTAAAGGCTATGAAACGGTAATTTCGTTTTATGGTCAAGACTTTTAGAATCCATGTAATCCTGCTCCTAATTGTAGAAAATACCCTTTTTGCTATCCAAAAACTTCATGAAATCGATTAGAATGGTTCTGGTTCTCTGTAAAAAATTTACGAAAAATTTAAATTCCACAGTAATCCCTATACAAACCTCAAGAGAGGATCCAGAATTATACATCATGACGAATATGTGAATTTTCGTGATGAGCTGAGAAGATAAATAAATCCACAGTGTTCGGAGGCTTTGTAGATTTTGGGTCGATATTCGTGATGTCTTCAGCTTTTTGGAGGACGCGCTGCTCATATCTTGGAATTTCAAACGTGTACAAAAGTGATCTGGAAAATTTTCAAAGTACTTTTTGAGGAATTTGTCTTTTTAGCGGTCTCGTGGACCGCCAGATTGGCCACTGGCGACTTACCGGGCGGCTCAGACGTCCAAAACTAACCTTATATGCTTATCCATGTACGATGGTACCATACTGTTCAAAACGTTGATATCGTAGCTGTCAGCATCGTGATCCTTGGAATTCTTGTACTGAAAAAGAGGTAAATGTAAATGTGCTCTATTGAAACTTCTCACCTCCTCTAGAATCTTTACGACTGTCCATTCAGTTGGCATTTTTGGAACCTTCCTCTCCGAATGCACCAATTTGTGATCGTCCACTAGGATCTTTCCCAGCCCGTCAGTCAGTTTCACCTCATCCAGTGTTCCCGCATGCCTTGCTCTTAATACAGACATCCGCTCATTATATACTGGATCGTTTTTGGGAATCTGAAATGGTTAGTATTACTGTGACCACTCTAATAGATGACCACCCAATACGTGAATTTTGAGCTCAATTATCTCGATTTCTATGAAAGATATGAAAAATGTGATTAATAAAATGTTGGTGATATTATGTGAAACATTTTATCAGTTGACAAATTTTTGTTACCTCTTATAGGAGCCGAGATAACTGAAATCAAAACTAGAGAGCAACGATTTAACTCACATAGTAACCTGGATTGTTCCTTGGCTTCTGAATTGCTTCTTCCGAAACAGGAATCTCAACTTTGTCATCTTTGTCCTGGATCTTGCTAGCAACTTCAGAATCTGTAACCTTCTCAATTGGACCATTTTTCTCGGGGGATTCGAGAAGATTCTGAATTTCCTCCAGCACATTTGGAATAGCTCCTTTCGGTTGGTCCATACAAATTTGAGTCTCATGGAACTGTGCATCTGGTTTTGATGGCGTTTGATTCTGAACTTCCTCTATTTGGTCGATTGGGATCATTTTTGGAATCTTCCGGATCTGTTCTTTTGGATTTTGCTGTTCAAAATTGTTCTCTTGATCCTTGCTGATCCTTGAATCCTTGACCTCAGAAGTAGTGGCTCCTGGATCCCCTCTGGATCTTCTTAAAGCATCAGATGACGTGGCTTCTTCAGAATCCTCTCTCAACTTCCTTCTCTTTGCTACATAAACTTTTCTATAAACATTCTCCTCCTGAATCCTCTCCTTCTTCACAAAACTCCTTTCCAAATCATCCACAGCCTTCCTCTTGCACTTCTTCTCAGCATCCCAGGCATCTGGTGAAATATCCACGTGGAATTTCTCCCCATATTCCTTCAACGATCCTTTATACATTCTTCCAGCCTCCTCTCCAACTGGAAATCGAATGTCTGTGGTAGATTTCCAACCTCTATAATGTATCATATAGAATTGGATCGATCCGATTTCTTTGATTGCCATAATCTTGGCGGAGTAGGGGAATTTGGACCCATCCTTTTCGTGGAGGCAAACGAAGATCTCATTGGTGGTGAAAATTGGGCTAGACATGCTGGAAATCTGGGTTGTGTTAGTGAGAGAGAGAGAAAGAGAGAGAGAGAGAGAGAGAGAGAGAGAGAGAGAGAGAGAGATAGAGATAAAAGAAAAAATGCCAAAAAGTTGCCAAGGTTGGAACCCCCCAAACTCAATAAAAAGTCGATAACACTAAGAGTTAACCTAACGAATGTGTTATGATTGACATTTGAAAAGATACATGTCACGATTAGAGCGCGTTTGCACAGCGGCGGATATTACGCGCGCGCGCTCACAACAACACTAACAAGTGCGCGCATCGTTGAGATTCAATTACACATAACTCGGCTCAAAGTTGGAATTTCTGTTTGAACCAAAAAGTAAATGATAGAACTTGACAAGATCTATGAAATGATATATATTCGACTATATTCAAATAGAAAATTTAAAGCCCGAGAGCGTCGAAGAGTCTTCGCCATCCAGTCTGTTAAAGTTTTTATCATTTTGTAGAACTCCTTCTACATTTTCAATGTTTAATTTGACAAAATTGTATTTCAAAAACGCAAATATACAAACCAAGTATTGAATCATATCAAATTTAATAAACTAAATGAAACAGCTAATTTCTTCAATTACCGTTTTACGTTTTGCCGCATAAATCCCTTCAAACTCAAGATATCCTAAAGATCTAAATTGCAAAAAGTTAATCAGAATTGGTGCTTCAACATTATATACAGTACCGGGATATAAAGTAAACAAAAGCGTATTTTCAGTTGATTTCTGGCTATCTCACTATTTTCAAGAGCATAAGGCTGTCAAGTTTCCGATCACTTCAAAATTTTGTAGACTGTAGAACAAACCCTACAAAAACGAGCCAAAAAGTGTCTTTCAGAAATCTGCAACTAGCAGAAAAACTAGGAATTTCAAAAAAATGCTGGGAATGCAAAGTTTTCAATCTATGTCTGTTTTACACCTTCAAAGTTTCAGAGTAATCGGAAACTTGACAGCCGAGCTCCAGACTCCTGAAAATGGTCAAAATGAACTAAACAGTCTGAAAAAAAGTTTTTGTATAGCTTAATGACTGTAGCTCGATGAGTAGCCTGGTTGAAATTCTTCACACTCTCAGTTTTACATCAGAAACGAAATAAGTTATGATTACATCAGACAGAAAGGTAACAATTTAAAAAAGTTGTTGAAACTGCAAAGCTCAGAATTGAACCACTTGGTGATATTACATAACTTTGCCTCATAACTATGTTGAAACTAAACTGATTACAATGTGCTTTATATCAAACCAATGCTCATAAAATGGCTTCAAAACTGTTTTAAATATGATGAGTTAGTAGTGGTGTAAAAACGCAATAAGCTGTTTCTAATTCTGTTCTACGTTTTATCGTATACCTCCAACTCATATCACATATCAAACTGAAAATACATATCAAACTGAAAATATTTTTAACATGTTAATTGAAAGAAGAGCTTTGAAATTATATATTTTTCGAGTATTGGGAACTACTTTAAGCTAAATTAGAAGATGCTTTAGGAGGTCATCAAAAAACCAGATGACACAAATTCATGCTAAAAATGAGACGCTAAAAGTGATGCTAAACCGTTCAAACAAAAACCAATAAGCTAGAGGAAAGATAAATGACCACAAGAAGGTATAAAATTATTGATTTGAACTAAATAGTGAGGGTCAAACGGGACGGACCGTCCACCACACCGATCAATGACGATTTGTGCGCGGGTACGCGAGTTGGTCAGTTTCTTGTCCGCACACCATCGGGAAGGAGAAGGGAAAGATGACAAAGGAAATGCGAGAAGGCAACAACGAACGCAACAAGATGGTGATGATCCTTGCAATAGGAAGAAAAGAGTGAGAGATGTCATATAAAAACGCGAAATGGCTTTATATTAGACTGACACACGAACTAGCACATTTGGATGGACCACATAACTAACATTGAAATTATGGGCTCTTTGAAAGAGAATTTTTGTTTACTGTTTCAATGAATTGATTAACAATATTTTTGTTAGTCTCACTTGGTTCACTTGGTTATATGGAAAAAATACCTAAACGAGAATGATAGTTTTGAATAATAACAATAGCAATTTTGAAAAGCAGTTGCAACTGTAAAGTCATTATTTCTAAAACTACGGAAAACTAAAACCGTTTGGCTGGAAATTCAAACAAGAATTACTCTACATAGAACACTTATAAATTCTCAAAAACATTCTAGAATAGAAGCCAAAGCAAAAGTTCATCCCTTAAACTTATTCAAATTGCGCGCGATTGAGCATTGCTATGATATTAGAGAAAATCAATAAATGCAATATTAGTGGATTGAGCGAAACTGAGAAATGTTTAAAATCCTTTTTTTAAGTTTCGAATACAAAATTTTGTGTCTTTTGGGTCAGTAATACTGTAGCCATACTTTATCGAATGTCAGATAATTCGAATCTGAATCAAATCAGTATCAATTTTCAGGAAAGATTACTTCGAAAACAATGATTACTTGAAAATGAACGGTTGTTTTAAACTTCAATGAAATATTAAAGTTTCCTAATCATTGAAAATTTTAGAAACGTTTGACTGACTAGACTAAGTAGGTGATAAGTTATCTGTTTCAGATATAACATAATACATAGTTTGACAAAAGGCTTGCAGTCATTCTGTTGCATTACTTTCCTGTCGCATTATTTTGGAGATTTTTGAGAACTGCATGTTGTACAACTTGAAGGAACAAAGGCTCTTCGATCGAACAATGTTCAGGATTTCATAGAATTCATACAACCATTAAACAGTGTTTTTTTAAATTACGATCAACATGAAGTTTCAATTCTAATTTTTTGCTATCGGAGTTTGTAACATGCTATACTCACCTCTTCAGCAATTTAGACCCCCCCCTTTTTTTAAAGCATTAAAGCAAATTTTTTAAAGCTAATCCAAATGGGCGTGGACCAATCAGACATAGTTCTTTCGAGAAGATACCTCAAAAACCTCAAACAATTCGATTTCAGAAGTATCATAATTATGAAATTGCGCTAATCAATCGGAGTATTGATAAAATAAGAATGACATTCTTCAGTAAAACTTGAAAATTTCTCGCTTTAATGAAACAGCAAAACAATAAGTTTTTGATTGTAAACTCACTATTTTCCTTATTTCAGAAGGATTATTAAAATACAGTTTCAATAACTTTGTATAATCGAGATGCAGCAACAAAGTCTGATATTTTTCTATGTTGTTGTTGTTCACAAAAATTCCCAACCATTTCAGGAAGATCCAACAAAGAAATTCGTCCACCTGCACCGTCGTCAACAACTTCCATCTATAAATTTGCCGACATATCTTCCAGATGGAGATTCTAGTTCCAGAGACGGATCACCGTATTTGCCTCCAGAAGAAATTCGATCGGCTAAGAAGGCCTAGAAGAAGTGAACATTTTAAAAAATCGCTGCTTTTTTTGCCGTTACAAGATTTTCGTATACATGATTTCCATTTTTTCTGGTAATTTTTTTTGCTCTCTTGATAATGTTCCAGTTTCATTCACTAGCTTTTTTGTCATAAAACGTTTTCTTCGGCTTTAATTATTCTAATTTCGAAAAAAAAAAATGCATAAAACGGTACAAAATGAGTAAGGAAAAATGTAGTTTGTGATTTCAGAAATTTTGATTTTTCAATTATCTTGGATCTCTCTATCAGAAGTTTCAGATATTTTTGAATTTTCGAAATTACATGTCCGTTGGCCTCTCCAGATCTATTGCTAGAAAAAATACAATCCCAATAAGAGTGCTGTGGATCGCGTTTGATTCTTGCAATTCATTAACTGACTCTAGGAACATCAAGAGAATAAAATTTAAACGTAAAACTGATGCGAAATGATAATATTGAAACAATAAACTTATTTTAATACAAAATCGTTAAACAAAAAATCATTTGAGGATTTGGACGTTTTCCGAGAAACGTAACAATCCAAATAACTGGGTTATCTCTTTAAAATTGAGAATTAAAATAAAATTTTCTTCCTGTTTCAGTTACTTCATGATTCTTAAATATTCTCAATATGTATAATGTTTATCATTGTTGTTTTTTTTTGATTCGATAAGCAAAAAATATTTTTTTTTCTAAAATCGGGGTAAAGATGGAACAGAAACATTTTTTCAGAAAAGTTTCTCAATTTTAGTTACAAAAAGTAAAGTAATGATTATCGACATTGGACTTATGGTGGGGAGAGATGATGTAATTGCAAATTTAATAAAACTGATAAAAAGTGATGAAATTGAAACAGGTACTGATTTTCTATCTAGGAAAAACCTAGTCCAGTAAAATTATGTCATTGAGTTTAGCAATTTCGAAAATCACTGTTTCCTCATTACCATGAGATTTGAGAAAAATGAAATTTTAATAGTTCTGTTTTTATCATTCTGAAGAGGTGCGGCAATCAGACTGGATCAATTAAAGAGGTTAAAAAGCAGGTAGAAGTTGTTAAAAGGACAATTAGTGTTTCAGAATATTGAAATAAATTTGAGAGTTCCAATCGCAACCATTGGGGGTCTATTCTCTTCACACACTCTTTCCCTCTCCCTCTACCATACTCTACCATTATTTAAAAATTTAATACAGAACAGTTTTGAACGTTTCTTATTTGTTTTCTTGATAGGTCTTGGAATGACTATAACTTGTTTTCTAGAATCTAGGAAAACCCAAAAACTTCGAAATATATATTTTTTCTATTTCCATCATAAATTAAGATTTGAAGTTTGACCTTGTTGAATTCCATTCAAACATCTCATATTTGAATTTATTTGAAATTTTAACTTTGTTCCAAAGTAATCCGTTAACGATCTCATAAGAAATCTATGAGAATGAGATATAAATAAAACAAGGCAGAAAATTAAATGAGAAAATGGATGAAAATGATTGTTTCAATTGGAAAAATTTCAAAAAACTGGTTTCCTCTAGGCAGTTTCATATTGAAATGAAAATTATAAGAAGCACACAATAAAAACAAAACGAATCGGGGAAAATGTTATTAAAATGAGTTCTATGGATCAAAAACACCGACTAGAGCCAAAAATGTTACCTTTTAAAAACATTGGAGAATCTGACCAATTGTTGTTTGAGTCATTAATGAATTTTCCTTTTTTTGTGAAGAGAAAAAAAATTGTGAAGAGAAAAAATATAAAAATAAAGAGATCCTATGAAATTAGGTCTAGAAATTATGAAGGAAATTTTTGAAAAAGGATCAGTTTCTGAAAAAAGCTTCCGAAAATGCTCTATTGTGAAAAATATAAATCAAAAAAAAAAGATAAGTGACACAAACTATGAAAGCTATGAAACAGTGAAATCGCTCTATCGCTAGAACTTCAAGCATCCATATAATCCTTCTCCTTGTGGTAAAACTCGTACTTCTTGATATCCAGGAACTTCATGAAATCGATTAGAATGGTTCTGGTTCTCTGTAAATTTTTTTTTATTTAAATTCTATAGTAATCCCTATACAAACCTCGAGAGAGTGTCCTGTATTGTACATCATCACAAATTTGTCAATTTCTGTGAGGAGGCGGAGCAAATGGACCAATCCATAGTGTTCGGAGGCTTTAAAGATTTTCGGGTCCAGATCCTTGACGTCTTCGAAGATGAGCTTCTGACGTAGAACTTCTTGAATAAGACGTTGCTCATAGTTCGGAACTTCGACGGAATAACAGAGGGATCTAGAAGGTTTTTAATGTTAGATTGGTCAACGGCAGCTTACGGGCGGCTCAGAAAACAAGAACTAACCTGAAGTGCTTATCCATGTAGAATGGAATCATGGTATTCAGATCATTGATCCCGTAGCTATCAGAATCATTGGTCTTGGAATTTTTGTACTGAAAAAAGTTAATGTAAATGCGCTCTATAGAAATTACTCACTTCCTCTAGAATGTTCACGACTACCCACTCTGCTGGTACCTTTGGAATCTTCTTTTCCGAATGCACCATTATATAGTCGTCCACTAGGATTTTTCCCAGCCCGTCAGTCAGTTTCACCTCATCCAGTGTTCCCGCATGCCTTGCTCTTAATACAGACATCCGTTCATTGTATACTGGATCGTTTTTCGGGATCTGAAATTGTTAAAATTACCGTAACCCCTTTAATAGAAGCCCACCTATACTTACACTTTGAGCTCAATTATCTCAATTTTTCAAAAAAAAAAAATGAAAAATGAGTCAACTGATAAAATGTTTGTGAAATTATGACGAACATGTTATCAGTTGCTAAAATTATGATATCGTATAGAAATTGAGATAATTAAGTTCAAAATGTACAGACAGCTAGAGCTACAAAGCTGTGCAACTTACATAATATCCTGGATTGTTTCGTTTCTTCTGAACTGCATATTCTAAAACAGGAATGTTCACTTTTGGATCTTTGTCCTGGACCTTTTTAGCAACTTCAGAATCTGGAACCTTCTCAATTGGACCACGTTTCTTGGGGGATTCTGCTTGGGGAAGATTCTGAATTTCCGCTAGAATATCTTCTTTCGATTGGTCCGGTAGATTCATGGGCTCGTGGATTAGCTCTTCTGGATTCCCTGGCTTGAGATTCTGGATTTCATCTTCCTTATGCAGATTTTCTTCTGTTTGGCCAATTCGAATCTTTGTGGAAGTCCCTTGGCCTTCTAGAATCTTGGCGTCGTCGATTGGAATCACTTTTGAGGTCTTTTTGATCTGATTTTCTGAATCCCGCTGTTTCAAACTCTTCGCTTTGTTCTCTTTATCCTTGCTGATCCTTGAATCCTTGACCTCAGAAGTAGTGGCTCCTGGATCCCCTCTGGATCTTCTTAAAGCATCAGATGACGTGGCTTCTTCAGAATCCTCTCTCAACTTCCTTCTCTTTGCTACATAAACTTTTTTATAAACATTCTCCTCCTGAATCCTCTCCTTCTTCACAAAACTCCTTTCCAAATTATCCACAGCCTTCCTCTTGCACTTCTTCTCAGCATCCCAGGCATCTGGTGAAATATCCACGTGGAATTTCTCCCCATATTCCTTCAACGATCCTTTATACATTCTTCCAGCCTCCTCTCCAACTGGAATTCGAATGTCTGTGGTAGATTTCCAACCTCTATAATGTATCATATAGAATTGGATCGATCCGATTTCTTTGATTGCCATAATCTTGGCGGAGTAGGGGAATTTGGACCCATCCTTTTCGTGGAGGCAAACGAAGATCTCATTGGTGGTGAAAATTGGGCTAGACATGCTGGAAATCTGGGTTGTGTTAGTGAGAGAGAGAGAAAGAGAGAGAGAGAGAGAGAGAGAGAGAGAGAGAAAAGAAAAAATGCCAAAAAGTTGCCAAGGTTGGAACCCCCCAAACTCAATAAAAAGTCGATAACACTAAGAGTTAACCTAACGAATGTGTTATGATTGACATTTGAAAAGATACATGTCACGATTAGAGCGCGTTTGCACAGCGGCGGATATTACGCGCGCGCGCGGTCACAACAACACTAACAAGTGCGCGCATCGTTGAGATTCAACTACACATAACTCGGCTCAAAGTTGGAATTTCTGTTTGAACCAAAAAGTAACTGATAAGACTTGACAAGATCTATGAAATGATATGCATCTCAACTATATTCAAGTCTCGAATTTTGAGCTAGAGAGCGTAAAAAACCGGTTTCGCACTCAGACTTCGAAAAAAAGTTGTATTTTGTATCATTTTGTAGATCTCCTCGAGTTCTACAATCTTGATTTTTTATTTGAAAAAGTAAGAGAAAAAAATAAAACTACAAACGATGCAATATTAAATAACACAAAAAGGTTCCAAGTTTAATGAATTAAGTGAAACAGCTAATTTCTTAAGGTGATGTTCTATGATTTGCCGCATAACTTTTTTTAACATAACTCTTCTCAAACTGAACTGATTGAATTGTGATGTATATTGAATTATTGCTCATAAAAAGGGCTTCAAAGCGGTTCTAAATAACATGAGCTAATAGTAGTGTAAAAAAGCAAAAAGGAGTTTCTCACACTGTTTTATGTTTTGCCGCATAACTCAAAATCAGAGCTTCAAAATGAAAAACATCAAAAATATTGGAAATGGCTTCAAGTTAGCGCCGACGCCATGTAACTAACTAGGGAAGGTTGTAATCGGGGGGTGGAACTTCGGTATGAGACCTATATCATTCGAAAGCTGAAAATGAGACATTTTCAAATATATATTCTGATTTTGCTGAGGAGCTACCAGTTTCGAGAAAATCGGGTTCGAAATCTGAGAAATTGCTAATGCAAAGGGGGGACCCCATGGTGATTTTTTTGCGAAAATTTTTTTTTTGAAAAAAAACCTGAAAACTTTATGGGATCATTTTCTTTTATTCAAAACTTATGGAATACTTGTGTTCAATGCTTTGAAAAACTTTTTTTTGAAGCATTATTCAAACTACATTTTGATATTTGAGAGAAAGACATTCGATGATTGGTGAAAGATTTCGGAAGTTTTTTTATTGTAATTACAATTTCAAATGTTCCTCTACGATCTGACAAAGTTTTCTCGATTTTACAGAAAAAAAATTTTGACGAAAAATATCCATGGGGTACCCCCTTGGCATTTTCAAACTATTTTTCGAAAAATTTTCAAATGTGCTAAAACGAATTCTAAACAGACAGAAACTTTAAAATAAGTCTTTTAGCAATATTTGGAAGCTTTATCCTTTTCGGAATCGAGAGCTTTTAATGTTTTTTCGATTATCCTACAATCCATATTTCTTCGATAATCACCCAGTAGTACTCAAAACTTGAGAAAAAACATAGATTCACATATCTCTCATTGATTTGTCACTTTACAACCCCAATAACGAACAAATCTTGTGGATTTTGAAATAAAGAACTGGAAAAGATTTGTAGTGTTGCTTCAAGAAATTTGCAAAAGCTATGGAGAACTTGTGAAAAAAACTTGTCAAAACTTGTGAAAAAGTAAAAAATAAGTATCCAATTAAAATTTTTTTTTGAAAAAAATGCGTTCATAGCATTTTGAAGATCGCCACAAAAACCAAAAATAAAATCAAAAAACAATAACGGGAAGAGGAATCGAACCTACAACCGGTTGGATACTCTTCATCCCTCCTTGCCACTACACCACTGCTGTCTTGTTCTTTCACTTCCCCCAATCTATATAAGAAAGAGGGGAGGCGCGGCGCCCTTAAGAGTCAAATTTGAGCCAAATTTGAAACTTGATTTTCTCGAAACTGGTAGCTCCTCAGCAAAATTTGAATACATGTTTGAAAATGTCTCATTCTCAGCTTTCGAATGATATAGGTCTCATACCGAAGTTCCACCCCCCAATTACAACCTTCCCTAGTAAGTTATGACAAGACCGAGCCTTAATATCAACCTTATACCCTAAATGCTAAAACTGTTGCTAAATAAAAACCACGTGAAGGTGTAAAATAATTTGTTTTGAGCCAAAGAGAAGGGTCAAAAGGGACGGACCGTCCACCACACCGATCAATGACAATTTGTGAGCAGCACACGCATATTGGTCCGTTTCTTGTCTCACCAAGTGCGCACGCTTGGAAAAAAGAAGATGACGGCGACAAGAAGGCAACACGAACACAATAAGGTGGTGATGGTCCTCGCAATATTAAGAAGAAAAAGAAAGGGGGTACATAAAAGGGCGCGAATTTCAAATTTTGAGGATTCGACATTGGCAAACTGTAAAAGATATCCTAAGGTAGGCTTCTGTTAGAGTCTCCATAACCAAAAAAGCACACTGGATTCCATAAAACTACTATTGAACTATGTAAAACTTTGCAACAAAACTTTATTTTGCCTGTTTCAATGAACTGATTAACAATATTAAAATTTATTTTGTCAATCCCGAATTATTAACGACTCAACATCTATTACTTCTGCGTCTATAATTCTCTCGCTCGCTTGATTGGGAAATAACTACTAGTAATACCTTTCCTGCTTAGAGAAGTAATATTGAATAATATTTGTAGCGATTTTTACAAATATTTGAAACAAAAAGATATCATTAGGCAAGTTTCTGTTCGAGTCTTCATTATCAAAGAGAACATTGGATTCCTCAAAACTAATATTGAACTTATGGACTTTTCATAACAGAGTTTTATTTTTGCTGTTTCAATGAATTACCAATTGTTAATTTGTTAATTTATTAATTGATATGTGGATATTTGGAGCTTGGACGTATTCTGTTTCTCTGCGTCAATAAATGTTTCTTACTTGATTGGAAAAAATATACGTCATCGGCAAAATCAAGTTCATTAAACAGTAAAGTCACTATTTCAAAAACTACGGAAACTAGAAAGTCGCTGGAAACGCTTGGAATTCAAGCAAGAATTCGCCTGTTCTTCTAAAAAATTGTAAAACACATCTTCATAATCCTCAAAGAGAGTCTAGCCAAGACACAAGACAAGGCAAGATCTCTCAATAAACTCTAACACGTAAACTGCGCACGCTCGGAGCGGGATATCGGAGTGTCGTTTGCTGGAGGGTACTTGCCCTGGACATTTTTGTACTGATTTTAATTTACACTCAAAAAAGAGTAAAAATGCATAAAAAGTTTGATTCTCGTATAGTATGAGATTTTGGGAATGGACTTCTATAAGAGGGGAGAAGAAAATCCAATAAAAAAATTGAGAAATTATCTATTTTGAAAATTATGTTGTGGTGCCTACTCATACTATTAGAGAACATTGATACGAACCAAATATTAGTGGATGAAGTCAAACTGTTGAATTTTTTAATTTTTTTCTGAATTCAGAATAATTAATGCTGCGTCTTTGTCTAGAATACTGTAGACGGTGCCATACCGTAGCCAATACCACAAAATCTAAATCTGAACATCAGCATCTATGTTTAGGAAAAGAGTCAAACTGTTGCTAGTTCAACAAAACCTACAAAAAATATATATTTCAAAATAGTCAAACAACTTTCAGATTTTACACTTGAGTTGATGACATGCTTCTAAGGTAACTCATTTTTGTTGCCACCTTCTATATTTCTGTTTCTTGGGCTTGGATGATGGTAAATAGCTGAAATTCTGAAAATTTGAAAAACAATGTGAATGCAAGGTGTTCAATCTAGGTCTGTTTCACACAAAACTTTCAAAGTGATTGGAAACTCGAAAGTCGAGTTTCCGTCCTGAAAATGGTGAAAGTCAACTTAAAAAATACGTTACTCGAACATTCATAAACGAGATTTATTTTAAAGTATTAAAAGGTGTCAAACAAAAGAAAAGAGAATCGCATTTTTTGGGAAAACAGGAAGTCGAATTTTGTAAAAACTATTACAAATTGTGGATCTTGATAGCTAGGAGGGAGGAGGGAACATAAGAACGGGCAGGGGTTAGGATAACACGAATCACGTAAGTAAGTTAAAACCAAACCGGCAAACAGCTTGATCCATAGTTTTCTTGACCTTCATGAATAACGACACCACTTGTTCTCGGGTACTTGAAGCAGTAATCATGAGTTGGAGTTGGTTGATGGCACTGCTCATATCGAGTTGGATTTTGTTGTGGAATCGGGTTCAACGGAGTAGTTGGGATCACTGGCTGAGACGTTGAGATTTTGTGCAGCTGATTGACGTTTGGAGCAACTGATGGAGTGAGTACTGATCTAGTGGGAATCGCTGCTGGTTTGATTGGAGTCATCGCTAGTTTGATTGGAGTCGAAACGTGAACTGCTGGCTTCTTTTGAGGAGCGTACTTGTAGTTCGGATGCGCCTGGAATGAATTGAAATATATAACCGTAAAACTTGTATTAGAAGCCCTTCTACATATTCTTCCAAGGTACCTCCGGAGCAGTGTGTCCTTTCGACACGAATCCAAGAAAATTTCTGGATGGAATACACTTTAACGTGATGGCATAACTTTTGTTAGTTAGGTTTTTTAAGCCACTAAATTAAAATGACCTAGATTTAGTCTGATATTCACCTGGTGTATTTTATAGGCCATTTAGAAGTGGTGACCTAGAAAACGCAGTTTGCAAAAGTTAGGTCAAAAACTTCTGCTTTTTCCCTCATAAACTCACCTTGTACAACTCTTCTTTCAATTTGCTGGCTTCATCATAGAACGGTCGCTTCTCTTCAACCGACATGGCTCCCCAACCTGCTCCCAATCGTTTCAGAATCTCAGCAGAAGGAAGGCCCGGATCAGTCACTGCCAATTCGGCTCTTCTAACTTGACAGTAGACCATGAACGGATTCAATGGGCGCTTCACATGCTGCTCCGGTTTGTTGGGTTGTTGAATCTTTGATTGACTACAATCATTGAACGGAATTGGCTCTTGGATTGCCGAATGATCTCTCTGCATTTTGAGTTGTTTCTCCTTGGCATAATAGAATTCCCTCTCTTCAGCTGATGTATGATGTCTCCAGACGGTTCTCATTTTGGTGATTTTTTCAGTAGCCGATATGTTCGAATACATTCCGTCGAATTTATGCTGGTTGTCTTGGCGCCATAAACCGAATGCCAGAACTGGAGGCTTCTTAGCGGAAACTGGATACGGATTGTAGTTCTCGGACGAGTCCGGAGAGCTAGAGACGTTTCTCAAATGGAGCATCGTATCTGAAAAATTATTGTTTTGAGAATGACAAAACGAAAAAAGTAATTTGACGGGACCACCGTAAAACCTGTATTAGAAGGGCCCCTGTAATAGAAGGACCCTCTAGAGGTACCTTGGAAAAGTAGAAGAGCCGGCCCTTCTAAAATACAGGTTTTACGGTATGTATGTTAATACGACAAACAACCTAGAAAAACAGAAAAATCTGTTTAATCAATAAAAAACGTTAAAATAGAAGAAAAAAGTAACTGTGTCTCAAAACTAAATACAAATGAAGAGAAGAAAGATGACTGGTTATTGATTTGGAGGTTAGGTCTATTATGGTTATCTGTCTTCAGTTACTTTCCCAGAAGCTCACTTTCTATTGTTTTCTTGCCGTGAAAAACAGTAATTAGCGTTTTTATGGGGAGAATGAGTGACAGGTGACAGATGATATGAAGGACAATATGTGAGAAAACATATTCGATGTATGGAGGTTTTCGAAAACTTGAAGATGAATAAGGAAAACCGGCTGGATGAAAATTTGAAAGCAAAAGAAGTTTAATAACGGGGTAGCAAAAATTTTCTGCATAACTCTTCTCAAACTGAATTGATCAAAATGTGATGTATACCAAATTGTTGCTCATGAAAAGGGTTTCAAAATGGTACTAAATATGATGAGTAGGATACATAGGATGCGCGAAATTCAAATTATGAAGATTGAAGATTGGCAAACTGTGAAAGATATCGTCAAGAAGGTTTTATATTTCACGTTCTACGACCACATTGGTTTCCTCAGAACTAATATTGAGTTTATGGACGATTTGTAACAGAATTTTATGCCAACTGTTTTAGTGAAATAGTATTGAAAAAGTGTCGGTAGCAACTTTATCAATTATTTGAAACAGTAAAGTCAGATTTTCGAAAAATGTGCGGGAAAAATCAGAAAAACGCAAGTAAAGTTTGGAATTTGAGCATGAATTACTCTAAAACACACTCAAACTACCCAAAGAGAGTCTAGAATACAAGCCAACGCAAATGTTCAACTCGAAAACTTATTCAAATTGCGCGCGCTCGAAGCGGGATAGCGGAGTGTCGTTGCTGGAGAGGAACTTGCCCCGGACAATTTTGTACTAGTTTTGATTTGAAGTCAAAAGAGAGAAAAATGAATCGAACCAATCAGTACGATACAATAAGAGAACATTAATACGAACCCAATATTAGTGGATGAAGTGAAACTATGAAATATTTAAAAAAATTTCTAAATTCGGAATACGTATTGTTGTGTCTTTTGGGTCCGTGATATTGTAGCCGGTGCCATACTGTACCCAATACCACAAAATCTGAATCTTAACATCAGTATCAAATTCCCGAAAAGTTTCAACTTTCTGCTAGTTCAACAAAACCAACCAAAATTTAATGTTTCAGAATAGTGAGATATCTTTTAGGTTGCACACTTGAGTCAGTTAAATTCCACTAAGGTCCACCCATTTTCTACTACATCCTATAATTCTTTTTCTTGAGCTCCGATGATTATGCTAATTACTAGAACCAGTGCGCCTTATCGACAAAGATTTTCCGATTTTGTCGACAAATTTACCTGACAAATTATCGATAAATTTGTCGATAAAAAACGATAAAATTTTGTCGATAAATTGTTAACAAACTATCGGTAAATTTTTCGAAAGTAATTTATCGACAAAATTTTGTTGACAAATTGTCGATAAATTTGTCGAAATGGGCATTTGTCGACAAATTATCGACAAAAATTGCTATTAACAGCCGGAATTACTTGTAAAAAATCGTATCTCATCTTTTTTTTCTTGGCCATCTGACCTGGTGGCCTAATTTTTCCAACATGAATTTTCTAGGCCACCAAACTTTTTGACCTGCAAATTATCTGTTAACATGTGTGTGTTTTAATGTTAACATGGTGTGTGTTTTAATGTTAACATGGTGTGTGTTTTAAGTCATTTTAGCAACTTTTGCAATATGAGTTTTCTAGGCCACCAACTATTTTACCTAGAAATGGTCAGAAATTCACCTGGTACGTTTTCTGAGCCATTTTGGGGTGGTGGCTTGATTGATTCGCAAAAAAAAAAGATTTCCGAAAAATGTGTGTTAAAATCAGAAAAAACGCAATCTTGTTAATCAAACAAAATATGCTTTAAATCACACTCAAAAATTCTCAATAACAGTCTAGAACACGAGACAAACCAAAAATTAATCTCTGAAACTTTTTCAAATTGCGCGCGCTCGAAGCGGGATAGTGGAGTGTCGTTGCCGGAAGATACTTTCCCCAGACAACTTTGTTCTAATTTTAAAAATCAAACGAGAAAAAATGCGCCAAATGTATCAGTGTTATTTTACAACGCAATCTGGTAGTAGAGAATTTCGAAAATTGCCCGATATTAGTGGGTGAAGTGAAACTGGAAACTTTTCAAAATCCATGTTTCTTTCTGAATTCTAAATACATAATACATAATCTTGTGTTTTTTTGGTACAGAATACTGTAGCCGACGCCGTACTGTCATCAATACGACAAAACCTGAATCTGAACATCAGTATCCATTTATGGGAAAAGAGTCAAAATTCGGCTAAATCGAAACCGAAAAAAGTTTTATCTGTTTCAGAATAGTCAGATAACTTTCAGATTTTACACTTGAGTTGGTACCACCATATTTTATTTATTACGCTGAAAAATAAACTCTGCTGTATTCCATTTTTCACCACATCTTATTTTTCTTATCCTTGGGCTTGGATGATTATGCTGGTTATTAAAACCATTATCCAATCTATCCCTTTTTTAACATCAAGATTTATGATTTGTTTCTGGAAATTGAGTTTCCTATTGTGTTTCCTGTTGCATTATTTTGCGGGTTTTTAGAAATGAATACTTTGATCGAAAGATGTTCAAAACTTCCTACAAATCATGAACTCATGAAACAGTGTTTTTTCTCAAAATTTGAATAAGGTAAAAATTTTATGAAGATTCTGCTAGATTAGGGCTGTAATAAACTCTTACTATCCAATTTTAAAAATCCTATTCTAAAACCAAGAGTCATCTTTACTATTAACAATCACAAAATTCTGTGTGTGAGTGTGTCCGTTTGTTCCCGTATCACCTTCCCTAACGAAGTCCAGAATGAACCAAATTTTCCCAAATTTTCACAGATAACCGGAAATAGCAGCTAGATGATGCCCGAATATTTAATCTTTCGAAATTTTGTGTCTGACGTCTTCTGGAGACGTTCTTCAATTTCTACAGTGCAAATTTTTCGAAAAATATTGAAGAAATATTCACATCATTTCCGTCTAACCGCCCAAATTTTTTTCTTATCCACGCTATTTCTGAGAGAAAAGTGATTTTTTGGAAATATTCTTTTACTATGGATTTTAAAGATTTGAAAGAAAGAAAAAATTCTGAAACAGTGGAAAAGAAAGAAAATAGAAGGAAAAAAAAGAAAGAAACTGAATGCGAGGGAAAATAACAGCGCCCTTTCTGATCACTCGATTTTTCAGAATTCAGAATAATTTTTAAAATTTCCGAACTTAATTTCATATCTTTCAAATTTCGGAATTCATAAATTTCTGAGATCTTATTCACCGAATATGCCAAAAAATTTCAAAGTTTCAGATTTTCCAACATTTCAGGTTTTCAATTTTCGGATTGTCTAAATTTTTCGAAATTTAGAGTTTTCGAATTCTGAAATCTACATTTCCGATTTTCCGAAGTTCCAAAAACTTTTCGACGAGACTGTGTTTCGAAAAGTTGAATTTCTGAATTTCTAATTTTTCAGGTTCTCAAAATCTCGATTCTAAACTTTTTCGAAATTCTATAAATTTTGCGAACAGGGCCGTTTCAGGCCAGCTCCTTTAGTAAGTATGCAAAAATCTGAATTTTCCGATTCCTTAAAATTTGATATACCAAAATTTGGGTATTTGAGACATACAGAATGAAACACTTTTCTAGATTTCAAAATTAATGTTTTTTTCAATTTCCGGATTTTCTTACTTCCGACTTTCCGAATTCTAGGAATTCTAAATAACCAAAATATCGAATTTCGAAATTTCCTAACAGACCATGAAAAAATAGTCCCTGGAAAAATGACAAAACCTGTCTATAAGACAACGGGTACTGTAAGCGGGAGCTAGGAGGCTTAGCCCGGAGGGGCGCAAACCGACTGTTTTTCAAAGTTCGAAAATTTCGAAATTCAGAATTTTCGGAGACCAGAAAGTTTAGTAAACCTGACATTAGTTATCCAAAATTTGAAACTTCAGGAAACCGGGAGTTCACATACTCCGGATTTCAGAACATAAAAAATCTTTTTTCAATAGTTTGGAAATTTTGAAAATTTGGGAAATCAAATATTCCTCGAAGAAAATTGATAGTATGCAAAACTTTCACAAATTTTGGTGGATTCGGAAACTCGACAATTTTTAAATTAGAAATTAAATGTAAGATACAGAAAGTGGAAGCCCCCGACAGGGGGCGTAAACCGACTGGTAAATTTCACAATTACAAAATGTTTAAATCTATACTTACAGTAACATCAATTTAGTTCCCCGTCCTTGAATTTCGTGTATTATTTATTTTTAAATTTAATAATTTGATGAAACAGAAGAATAACTATAAAATCATTTTTTTTTTCTTATTTTCCGATTAACCCTAAATTTTTTATTGCTTCCAAAAAAACGGTCCCTTCATAAAAATGCACCCAGAAGCTTCTAGAATCTTTTGAAAGGGTGATAAGAGTTATCACCCAATTATTACTATGAATTATATGTAACTCCTACCAGTTTATCTATCGGGTTGGCCACCTGTGTCGGTGTCCTAATTTTCGGATTATATGCTTTCTATTTTACCTAATAATTAATCTTCTACTGTCTAATTATGCCAGACGAGCTCATTTGGCAAAACGTCTCTTGTGCGTGGGTGCTCTTTGATCCCCAACCCTTCAACTCCCTATAGGGTGTATTGGCTTAAAACACGCGTTACCTCTGACTAGTAAAAGGTTTATTAAGAATGTTGTATATCATTTTGAAGCTTGTAAAACGAGCTATCTTTTGGTATTTAAAATATTTTAAAATGGGAAGCTCAAAGCGATTTTGAATGATTTTTAAAAAAAATCAAGTTCGAAGATAGTATAAGGCGAAATGCGCAACGGATTGATCAATTATATTTTTCTGGTGTTCTGTCTACGTTGACCTGTTCTTAACCCTGACTTGCAGAGTTTTTTTCAAGTTGATTACTGTCTATTTAGTTTTTTCAGCTTCAATAAGCGAAACTAACTATGCACCGTGTGGATTGCCGCACAAAGTGAAATAGCTGAATGTTGGATTCAAAAAAGTTAATCAAACTGTTTTTCTCGGTTGCAATAGGTTCTGAAGTATTAATTCTGAAACTATGAAATTGATAGAGTACTGTTTTTCGTAAAATTCCAGATATGCCACTTTTCATTGTTTTTTTTCCGCGTTAGAAAAAACGGAGGCGCAGAGTGCGGGTCTCTCAACAAACCGGCGCGTGGCATATCTAACACGGTTGGTGTATTTTTAGGTCGTTGGTTTCAAGCTCTATTATCTCAGCTCCTATAAGTGATATCAAAAGTTTGCTAACTAATTAAATATAGCTGATATTGTGATAAACATTTTATTAGTTGATTACTTTCTGATAGATTTTGCCCCCAACACCTTCATCTGCCTATATTGACTTAATACGCGCGTTACTTTTAATTGTAAGAGATTGTATTAAAGATGATGTATATGATTTTGAAGCTTGTAATGCGAGCTATCATTTGGTAGTTCGTGTAATAAAATATGTTCAAATTGAAGAGAGTTATAGAGCAAAATGAGCACATATTAGTTAGTAGAGTGGCTACTTTTTTGGAACATTCTAAAAATTTGCTATAATTCGAATCGCAATTATTTTAAGTAGTGTTATTTTATATCATTTTGAAGAGCGTCTTGAGAGAAACATTTTCCAATTTGAACCACAAAATTCCGTTTAGTTTGAGGAGAGTTATGAGCCAAACAGTAAGGAGATAGTGATTTTTTCGGTTTCAATAAGTTTTGAAGCATCAATTTTTCAAACTATGAAACTGTTTGGTCTTCATCTTCTTTTGAAATTCCAGATACGCTCAATTTTTTCCGCGTTAGAGAGAGCAAAGATGCAGAGTGCGTGGTATTGCAACGAATCGGTGCGTGGCACATCTAACACGGTTGGTATATTTTTTGTTCAATTCAATATCAATTATCTCAAAAAAAAAATGGTCATCATATTATCAGTAACATTTTATCAGTGTACTACTATTTGTTATCTCCTACAGCAAGCGAGATTATTGGGCTCCATTAGAGCAATATACAAATCTCTCTACACCAACGTAAAACCCATTTTTGTTGTTTCACGACCTCACATATATTTTATTACCCCTCTCTTTGTCCTTCTCTCCATGGGGTGTCTTCTAGAAAACGATACACACGCACACACTCCGCCAAAAAGGCCCTATGTGTAAGAATTGCCTCTTGTATTCCTATTTCTCCTATCGGATTTTTTCCCGTGGACCATCTTTCTTCTTGTTCTTCGCCTGCTGGGTCATTTATCTTGTCCTCTCTGCCATCTTGACAACTGCCCGCCCGGCTTGGACCACCCGGCTTATCTATCGGGTTGGCCACCTGTGTTGGGGCCTAATTTTCGGATTATATGCTTCCTCTTCTACCTTATAATTAACCTTTTGTTCTGTCTAATTAGCTCTTTTGGCTCATGTGTGTACTTTGATCCTTCCCCCTCTCTGCCTAATCGTTATTTAAAATGCCATGCAACTTTGATTATAGGAAATTTTACATGGTATGTTATATATCATTTTGAAGCTTGTAAAACGAGCTTGCGTTCAATAATTGATGTGTTAAAACGTGTTAAGTTTGAAGAGAGCTGACTCAGATATTTTTCCACTTTTCTCGATAGCTCCTGATTTTTTTTCCATTTTCAAGAGCTAGAAAATACAAGAGTATACATAAGAATTTTTATAGCTCCTATTCAAAGCTACTTGTTAAACGTTAAACCAATAAAATCCGCCCATTTTGAAGTTAGTTATGAAGTTAATACTTGGGTCTTTACCACAAAAATGATAAAGCGATGCTATTTTAAATTGGGTCCGATGTAAAAAATCATATGTTATATCATTTTGAAGAAAATTTGAAGATCTACATTTTTCAAGTTCAACCAACAAAGTTAGTCAAGTTTGAAGAAAGTTATGACACAAATAGTAAGTTAAACTAGTTGAAACGGGAAATCCAGAAATTTCGCTGTTCCAAAAAGTGCTTTACCATTCCAAACTATTCGAAAACCTATTGGTCATCTTTGAGACGTATTTTTAATTGTTGAAATTTCTTTTTTTTGCTTTTTTTCTATTTCCCGCATCGCATCACTTGTGTGTTTCCCGCAAAACAAGGCGTTGGCCGCAATGGCGCTCCACTGGACAGCGCAATTTTCGAAACACATATTTTTTTGAGGTGTGGCGCGTAGACACCTGTTTTCATTTAGAAGCTTGAAAGAGAAATTTTGAAATCCGAAAAAAACTACTTTTTCAAGTTTTAAAAGAGTTTTGCTCCTGAAAGTGTTTCATCACAGTGGAAATGTACGAATTTTAGGGATTTTGGACTTGGAAATCATTCTTAACCATCTTCTGCTTTTCTAATATAATACATATAATCTATGAGTTTTAATGTTTCAAAAAGTGCATTAGTATCTCATTCAAAGTCTCAATGTTTATTTAGACGTTTTTATTACGCCGCGTTCAAAGTTGATTTCCAGGAGTAATTTCCTGGAAAAACGCTGTCCAAAGCTGCGATTGTTTTCCAGATTTACAGCAACAATAAACTACTGTATCACTCGTGTTGACTGTGTTCTTCCTGTTGATTCATGTCGATTTACGGCGGGTCTCGAAGCGGAGGCCTCTGGAATACAATACCAGCTTTGGACAGCGTTTTTCCAGGAAATTACTCCTGGAAATCAACTTTGAACGCGCCATTATATGAAAAGCATAATTTCGTCTTGAATTGTCCAAAAACTATAAATTTCCTTTTTCGCACATCTCAAATCTTTTTAATCATTCAGAATCGGTTTTAAATTTATTTTATTTTTCTTAGACCCCGCTGAAACATAATTTTTTTGCACTGTTTCACATTCTTCCTTTGAACTTGAGGTCTGCCCTTTTAAGTTTGATTTTGTACAAGGTTTCAATGTCTTACTGTAAATTCTTGAAACTGCATTTTTTAGCAATTTTCAAGCTGATATCACATTTTTCCTGTCGATTTTTTTGCTATGTGCAATATATTACTGAATATTATCAATTTATTACTGTAGATTTTTGATGCTTTACTGTAGATTTTCAATGTCTTATTGTGGACTTTAAATGCTTTACTGTAGGTTTTCCAAGCTATTTTTCGAGCTCTCTCTTCAAACAAACAGCAACTTTTTCTCGCCAGATACATTAAAAAATCCATTAATTTTCTATTACCCCTTGGCGTGTATGTTGCCGCAAAACGACAACATTCTTCCGCGCGCCAAATCTATGGCATCTTTCAAATAACGAAAACGAAATTTGATTGACAGTTAACACATCGTTTGTCACTTTCATCGGTCCGCGCACGGTCCGCGTACCTAAGATGAGGTAAAAGTTGGAATAATATTCTTTTCTTCAGATTTTAAACAAAGTGTTCAAAATTATTAGGATTCTACAGTAGTACATTTTTACAGTAGTACAGTTATATAGTTATGTTGTCATTTCAAATCGATTGTTTTTTTGTGAGAAATGTATTAAAAATTATCGTTATTCTGAGTAAAATCTTTTCAGACAAACATGAAACAGTAGTAACTATAATATTTTTTGGGTTAAAAATTCGGGTTACTGTAGGTTCTCGAATTTTAAATTCTTCTTGATTTACGGCTTGCCAGATGTCGTATTACCCTGGAGATGGGAAGCACCTAGTTTGCCGAAAACACTTTTATTTTATAACCCTTCTGAGATATTTAATCTTTGGCGATAACAATCTCCGCTTCTTCTCTATTCGTTTATGCTACAAAATTCGTATTGCTATACCTACCTTCTTTTTACCCTTCAGAAGGCCCTCAACTAATTTTATTGTCCTTTTTCTTATCAGTAATTTCTTATTTATATTTTTTTTTGTTTTTGCGGAAACGATGTGTGTATACACTTTGTTTGCCTTGAGTCATCGCTGCCAAAGGGTCACCTAACTTTAGCCCAATTTATCTCAATTTCTGAAAAAGATATCAAAAATTTGCCAACATATAAAATGTTGGTGATAATATGCTAAACAATTCATTAGTCGTTGAATATAAAATCTGACATTGCAGTTCTGTCATTGCTTGTATTTTCATTTTGCTAATAATTATTAACTTTTTGAAACAGATCTTTTTTTAATCACTATTTTATTGCTAGAACAATATGAGCCTATATTTACCAACTTTTTGGAACAGTGATTTTCAAAACGTCTACTATTTTCAAACTTTTGAACATCTTCATCATCATATCCTTCTATTTTTTTCAGTTTCACCTATAAGATTTCCTTGTAACAAACTATATCTGATAGTAAATTCTAGATTGAAAGTGGCAGAAGCACATACATTTTTCATCTCCGTTGTTTTCATGTGCAGAATGATCCTAGATTAAAAAATCCACTTTACAGCCAATTTTTTTTCAAAGTTCTGCAAAGCTATCTATTTTTTTTTAGAAACAAAATATTCGGTACCACGCGGTGTACCAGGCAGTGAATGTTATGAAGCACTTTCTAAGATAGAATGTTTCCTCTTTCTTTGAGGTTGAAAATTATTGGCTTTAGAAGTTTAAGTATCTAATAAGCGGTCTGTAATCGCCCGATTCTGAGGATATGACTTAAATAGTGACTCATTAGCTGGCAGTCAGCAAATCGGGGGACTTCAGTGGTCTTCTGGTTTTCTTGAGTTTCACAAAACGTCTTAATTAAGAGATTGTGGTCCGGCGAATAGTAAGGCATTATTATGATAATGATGTCAAGAGCCAATTGAGCCACCTTCCCTGCCACGAGCTTATTAACTACCACTAAACAAAAATCCTTTTCTTTTTAATCTTCTCAGTACCTATTACTTTTGAGGAAAACGCCAGGCAAAAGTATTTCCTTTATCTTTAGCTTTATCGAGAGGACCAATGCAAACATTACATTTGGATATAATGGTTTTTTTTCATACAAACCTGAAAAAGAAGTTTATGATTAATTCATTCTCAATTTCCTTTTTTCTCCATACTTTTATTTCAAAATGTTCGAAACGATTTTATTTTTCAAAGAAATTCTGGGTAGCTCTAACATTTCTACCCTTACATGACCACTTTTGCGATAACGATGTGTGCACTGGGGAACAAGTGAATGCTCTTTTTTCTTGTTTCTGTTTAGTGCCTTCTGTAGGATTGCCATTTTATTACATTGCTCGTTCGGGAGAGTTCTTTGATTATTGGATTCGAAACATTTTTGAATTTGA